AAAAATAGGCCAGAAGTCTGAATAAACACCTCATCAAAGAATATGTACAGATGCTTACTTACAGCATATAAAACGATGCTCCATATCATATGTCATCAGGGAAATGAAAATGAAAATAACAATGAGAATACCACTATGCACACTTTGGAATGGCCCAAAGCCAGAAAATTTACAGCACCAAGTGTTGGAGAGGATGTGGAACAAGAGGAACTCTCGTTCATTGCCGTGGGAATGCAAAATGATACAGCCACTTTGGAAGACAATTTGGCTATTTCTCAAAAAACTAAACACACTCTACCATACAACACAGCATCATGCTCCTTAGTACGCAGCCAGTGGAGCTGTTAACATATGCCCACGCCCTGTTTTAAGCAGAACATGGATGTTTATAGCAGTTTTATTCATCATTGCCCAGACTTGGAAGCAATCAACATGTCCTTCAGTAGCTGAAGGGATAAATACCCAATAACTTGAGTCGATGGAATATTATACAGCACTAATAAGAAATGAGCTATGAAGATATGAAAAGACATGGAGGAAACGTAAGTGTATATTACTAACTGAAAGAAACCAACCGGACAAGGCTGCACACTGCGTGACTCCACCTAATGACATTCTGGACAAGGAGAAACTATGGAGACAGTGGTGGCCAGGAGGAAGAGAGGAGAGAGGAAGGAACAGAGTAAGTGAAGCCTGGGGGATTTTTAGGGCAATGAAGCTACTCTGTATGACACTGTCATGGTGGATACATTTCATACATTTGTCTAAACCCACAGAATGTACAACACCACGAGTGAACATTTGTGTGAAATAGGACTCTGAGTGATAATGATGTCTCAATGTAACTTCACTCATAGTAACAAATGAACCACTTTGGCAAGGGATGTGGATATTGGAGAGGCTCCCATGTGGGGACAGGCAAGGGTAGATAGGAATTCTCTGTACTTTCTGGTCAATTTTGCTGTAAAATGCCCTAAAAAATAAAGTCTATTTTTTTTTTGAGACAGAGTCTCGCTTGTCACCCTTGGTAGAGTACTATGGCATCACAGCTCACAACAATCTCAAACTCTTGGGCTCAAGTGAGTTTGAGCCCAAGCCTTACCTCAGCCTCCCAAGTAGCTGGGACTACAGGTACCTACCACAATGCCTAGCTATTTTTTTTTTTTTTTTTTGCAGTTTTTGGCTGGGGCTGGGTTTGAACCCGCCATCTCTAGTATATGTGGCCAGTGCCCTACTCCTTTGAGGCACAGGCACCGCCCAACACCCAGCTATTTTTAGAGATGAGGTCTCCCTCTTTCTCAGGCTGGTCCTGAGCTCCTGAGCTCACGCAGTCCACCTGCCTCAGCCTCCCAGAGTGCTAGGATTACAGGCATGAGCCTCCATGCTCAGCCTATAAAGTCTATTTTCAATAATTTTTAATAGATGCAATGAAAACACACATACACAAGAGATCAGATATCACAAAGTGATCTGTGAAAGCTAAATAACTTTTATAAAGCTAGAATCTCCCAGGACAACACCTGGGAAACACTCAGAGCTTTATTACCAGTTTTCTTTTCCAGATACCCTCTACAATCTTCTTGTCCAGTACCAGGAATATCCTGGTGGGATTTTTATTTGTCCTACAACAAATCTGTAGATTAGTTTAGGCATCTTCTCATTTAATGGTGCATTTGTATTTATGAAAACTCTTTCATGACTCCTCGTTTTAATAGCACCATTTTCTTTTCTGGATGCACTGCCATTTCAGTCCCTTTACAGAATCGTGAGGAATCCAGCTCCGGGTTAAAACCTCTACGTGATCTTTCAAGACTGACCATGAGCAATTAGGCAGGTATCACCTGGCAGGGCTTATGGGGGAAACTGCCCTACACACATCAGACTTGGTGCATAATCAATGCACTGCAGTCTCCCAGGAGAGTTGCAGGCAAGGACTGCCACTGTCTTACACTTATTTGCATTTCCTGCCCAGGCACCTGCGTTCAAAGTTCTCTTTATCAGGAGCCTTCAGCAGATGGCTTTCTTAGGCACCTCTGCCAAGACCTAGTTAACCAAAGAAAAAGAGAGGAAAGTGAAGACTTTTCTCACACCATGACTCAGTACTTAGTATATTAATATTTCCACCTCTAACCTTTCCCCCATTTCCTCCGTCAAGCCTGCAGGTCGATAAAACTGCAGGAGCCTTTTGTTGAGGGATTCCACAGCAGTGAGACAATCCCCACATCTGTGTGATCCACCCAACCCTCAAATGGCAGGGGGAAAAGTGGATTGGGGGGAGCTAGTACTCTCTGGTACAGTTCACGCTTACACTATCACAGTAAGTGATGAAAGTCTTGACTGTTACCTTAATTGGGACTTGTTATCTTACTTGGCTTCTTCAACCCTTGATAGAGAGCCCTCTCCTGCTCAGCTGTGCTTGTGACAAATAGAAATGAGCAAATCCTTGGGCTGTCTTCTCTTTCTTCCATGGCATCTGTACCTTGTGGGTCAGTTCTGTTTCATCTGGTTCTTTCTCTTTCATGCACTTAGGAAAATGCTGGGTGACTGTGGGTTGCCCTGCTGATGAGTGAGTGACTGTGTTGATTATTGTTGCATTTGTTCTCTTTGAGTTTAGGTTCACCTCCCCATCAGGCCTCTTTGTAGGCAGGTGGGTTGTGATGCTATCAATAGTCATGGATGGAGGGGAGGGGTGACACAGTCTAAAAACCCCTTCTAATTTTCTCAGTATGGGAAGACTTTGCTTGAGGAGGCTGAGGGTCTGGTGAATTTCCTTTACCATCCTGCCCTTTCCATTTTCTATTTATTATGGAGATCCAGAATAACCACAAGTTACAGGAGTCTCTCCCCAGTTCCAGCACCCACTGGGATATACCATGTACACCCTTCTACAAAGAAAGGGAGGAGAGAAAGAGAGGCAGAGGCAGAAGGTTGAGAGAGAGGGAGAGAAGCAGTGTCTGTCCTTTCTGAGGGAATTCCTGGGCTATGCCAGACAGATTCTGCAGATTTGTTTTTAAGGGGTGGAGCTAGATATTACAAAGGATGTCTTATTAATTTCCTGATGGGCACCACACTGCACCTTCCTTTCCTCCCATGAGTTCACTTTAAGCTTTCAATTTCTGCAGGGCTCTAATTAGAATCATGATACCTAATTCTATACCGAATTCAAATCCCACCTCCTATCATAGGCTAGGCAACCTAGGCTTTGACTTCTATATTACGGTATGGCTGGTGCATAGTAGATGCTTAGTAAATATTAATCATCTTATTTACCAACTTTATTTGCAAAATAGCTATGGTTGGATTCTGTTGAAACTCTCAGCCACATTAGAATTTCAAGTGCCCTGAGAAGTCCTACCAGAAATGTGTATTTACCTGTGCAAAACTCAAGAATTTCAAATATTTGTAACTATGGATCCATACATTTTTGTCAGAACACCTTTTAACATGTGGTTTTACATAGCACTGCATGGCAGACTCTGCCATGGAGACTTGTGAAATTTCTGTCCGACACTGAAGAAAAAAGGATCTCTGGGCCATGCTTTGGGTCAGCTGAGCACCAAAAGTCTTTGTAGTTTCTCCTAAATATCATTATAACTATTTTAACAATAGTAAATATTTCACACAATCAACAAACAAACAAGATCATTTCAGATGATGCCAAAACCTAAAAGGAAAATAAATGGAATAACAGAACAGAAATGACCAAGATAGCCAGTACTTTGATAATAAAGAACCTCTCGTGCAAAGAAAAGAGATGAACATTGGTAGAAGGATTTTATTTTGAGATACTGACTGTGAATTCTTTATGCTCTTACCCTCTTGCACTTCCAAGTGCCCCCACTACTTTCAGACAATAATGCTTCCTATATGCAAAGCCTTCCGTGGAAAGGGAGATGATTCTATAAGCACAAACATTAGAATCTTGCCTCTGAGTTCCAAGGCACACTCGTAAAACTCATGGCAGAAATAACTATCTTGAAAGGCAACATGCTCTAACAACAAGGCTGTCTGAGAGAGGAACTGATAATGGCCATATTATACATCATTTCACTGTGCACCAGCCACAGCTCTAAATCCTTTACATTTAGTCCTCAAGACAATCCTGAGCTGAGTAGTGCTGCTGTTCCCATGATTGTATTTGAGGAAACTGAGGCACAGAGAGGAGAATCAACTCGCCTAAGTCCCAAAAAAGTTCATACTGGGGCCCAAGCAGTCTGCCTCCAGATCCCTAAGGTACTTGTGTCCAGTGTGTCCAGATCCCTTAGGTGTTTGTGTCCAGTGGTCTGGCTTGAATCTCAATTGTGGAACAGGATGGTACTGCCCCTACCCCCACCCCAAGATAGGCCAGGGTGGCTTGGGATGGGGGTGAAGGAGGAACCTGCAGGTTAAAAGGGTGGTGGATGAGCCCTCCCATGACACTCTCGTGAGAGTTCCTGAGTGGCCTCAATCAGTATGTGCTGTCCAGGCTTTCCGGGCAGCATCAAGGGACCAGAAGAGGAAAGGGAGGGATTCCTTAAAGGTAGGGCAAGAGGCCACAGATGGGATCACTGCAGAGGGGCACAGGGGTGGGACACTGGCAAGAGCAGGAAGGGAACTAAGAATCCTTGACAGGCTGCCAGTGTGGAAGCTGTAAACCTCTTCCCCTGTGCTCTGGGCTGATCAAGAGGCTCTGTCTTGAGGAGGAATTTTCAGACAGACTAAGATCTGCCTCTACTGCTGTACTCCCTGACTCAGAGCCTCAATCGTGCCCCTTCAATCCTTCCTAAACCTTGGCACCTGTCCTACTTAAACACGTTCCATGGCTCCTTATTCCCCACCGGAAGAAGTCTATACTTGGGCTCTGAGAGAACCCGGGATCTGCTGAGGGCTTGCGCTCAGCCAGAGAGGCAGTCAGGATCTGGGGCTCAGGTCTCCAACCCCACCTCAACCCACCTACGCACACTCCCTGAGGTCCCCAAGCCGCCGCCGCCACCACCACCCTCGCTGGCTGTAGACCAGGCTCAGGCAGAGGGAACAGCACGGTTTTATTCTTGAGAATCTGCAAAGGCAGGTGGGTGGGGTCACAATGGGTCTAAAGCCCGGCGGGAGTAAATCACTGCTGGCCGCCGCTTAGCGGCTCCACCCGCAGCCAAAGTCCGCCCTCGGCTCGCAGCACCAGCTCCGGCTTTCTGCGCGGCTCGTCGTTGTCGGGTAGGATCCGGAAGCGCAGCAGAGTGAGCGCCAGGATCACCTTCATCTCGGTCATGGCGAAGGTCTGCCCAATGCAGTTCCTGGGGGAGGTGGTGGGGAGTCTGACTGCACCCAGGACCCTCATCCAGGCCCCATCGTGACCCAGAACCCCCATCCCCACCCTAATAAGCCTGAAGGGCAGAGAGGGAGATAACCGTGCATGGGACCCTCATATAGGCTTGCATGTACCCCAACCCTGGTTCACATTCCATCGCCTAACTCAAAGCAGAAAACAGGGGAGAGTGTTCTGAGAGTACCCTGCCCTCTATTGGACCTACACAGCCCCAGAGGATGGCCGAGAAAGAGGGCGAGAACTCGGACCACCTACAATAAACCCCTTTTGCCCACTGCCACGCCCAGACCCCCACTACCCTCACCTGGGCCCTGCTGAGAATGGAACAAATGCCAGAGGTGACCTCTCTTTGATGTTTTCTGGGTCAAAGCGGGAGGGGTCATAGACCTGGAGGAGAAAGTGAGACAGACTTGCTGGGTGAGGTCTCCCAGGACAGCCAGCCTTGGGGAGACAGGTGAGTATGTCTACTAGTTTGGGGAGAGAGATGACCTCTAATTTGACTGTCAAAGCCCTGACCCCTCCTCTAGGACCCATGGAATGGATATAAAAGGGAAGGTAGTAGTCAGCACCTCTGGATCCGGCCACACAGCTGGGTTGTGATGGGTCCCAAAAATACTGAGGAGGCAGATGACTCCTGTGAGAGGATGGGACAGTCAGGACTGGGCCCCACGGCCTGATGGGACCCTCTTCCTGCCCAGGAGCCTCCTCCCCCTGCCACTGCAGGCACCTTTGGGGATGACCCGGCCATCCGGGAGCTCAATGTTCTGGGTACAGTAGCGGGAGATCACTGGAACTGGAGGATGCAGCCGCAGACTCTCCTTAATGCACATGGTCAGGAAGGGCAGCTGGGCCAGGTCGTCCCTAAAGAAAAAAACATATACAATTATCCAGGGAGCAAAGACAGAAACGGAGTCCTCCAGCACGGTGTTTCCCAGTGAGATCTTTTTCCCCTATAACAAAGTAAGCTCCACAGGAATCAAATATTTGAGAATTAGTAAAGCAGAAAAAAATCAGAAAAAACAGAGAATTAGAAAAGTGCCAGAAAAAAACTAACCAGATATTTTTTAAAAAATATTTCTGAAGAAAATACATCCAAATGCCAACTATAAAAAGTTAACAGGCTCGGCGCCTATAGCTCAACTGGCTAAGACGCCAGCCACGTATACCTAAGGTGGCGGGTTCGAATCCCCAGCCCGGACCGCCAAACAACAATGACGGCTGCAACCAAAAAATAGCCGGGCGTTGTGGCCGGCGCCTGTGGTCCCAGCTACTTGGGAGGCGGAGGCAGGAGACTCGCT